TCCGCTTGTTCCCGGGGTGCTCCCGGGGAGGAGATTTGGCGCCTGGCCCGGCCGCGCCGTCTGCGCCAAGGGCGCCCGCGCTGCCACCGAGGGACCCGCCACCGCGGCCACCTCTGCCCTTCTGCTGTTGTGGGAATAACCTGCTCCCACTGCCCCTTGCTCTGGCCCAGAGCCGGCCCTGCGCATCCTGGCATCTCTTTAATTCAACCTTGCATGGGGACCCTTGAACCACGGCAGGGTCTCCTCCTCCCTGAGTGCCCCCAGTCTGTAGCCAGGCCAGCGGTGGGTTCCCATTTTCCCTCCTGATCTCACATTTCAGCTATTCCAGCAGTTTGGAGGCACCCTTATATCTTTGCTGCTGAGATAATCAGCAAAAGAGTCATTTGTGCTGCCATCAGTAGGTTTCAGAGTGAACTATGGCCACAAGGGAGTGTGGTCTGAGCTGTTCCAAACCCTGTCAGGAGGGATGGGAAGGGCAGGTTTTATTTTAACTGCAGCATCCAAGGCTTTCCAGGCGAGGAGCAGCTTATGGAACTGGGGAAGGATTCTTATTGCCAGTGCCCAGTGCTTTATTTCCCTGTTCCTTTTCCCAGAGGCCGGCAGCCAGCCTGGGCGCAGGCGAGGGGCACTTGGTGCCTTCGGGGTTTTGCTCTGCGCTTTCCCCTCGAGCTCCCGGGCTCCGTCCCGGCCACACGGGCAGCACGGGCAGGGGCTGCGCAAATGCTCTCGTAGGAAAGGGGCAGAATTGCGTGATTTGGTGCTGTGTTGCACCAAAGGGAGGAGGCGGGCTGGAGAGGCAAGCAGGTCACGTTGGGTGTGTGTTGATGGGTGCACGTCATGGTGGGTGCACGTTGGTGGGTGCACATCGGGTTAGGTGCGCGTTGCGATGGATGCGCATCCGAGTTGGGTGTGCATTGGGGTGGATGCACATCGTGGTGGGTGCACATTGGGGTGGGTGCACACCGGGTTGCGTGCACGTTGCTGCCCATGCGCACCCGAGTTGGGTGTGCATTGGGGTGGATGCACATCGTGGTGGGTGCACATTGGGGTGGGTGCACACCGGGTTGCGCGCACATTGCCGTCCATGCACATCAGATTAGGAGACACATCGTGGTGGGTGTACATCGTGGTGGGGACACAGTGCAGTGGGCGCACATCAGAGCAGGGGGCACATCATGGTGGGTGCACGTCATGGTGGGTGCACATTGGGTTGGATGCACGTCACGTTGGATTCACATTGCAGTGGGGACATGTTGCAGTGGATGCACATCGTGGTGGGTGCACATTGGGTTGGATGCACATTGGGTTGGGTTCACACTGCAGTGGGTACGCCTTGCAGTGGGTGCACGTCGTGGTGGGTGCACATCGGGTTGGATACACATCGCGTTGGATTCACATTGCAGTGGGGACACGTTGCAGTGGATGCACGTCATGGTGGGTGCACACTGGGTTGGGTGCACATTGGGTTGGGTTCACACTGCAGTGGGTACGCCTTGCAGTGGGTGCACGTCGTGGTGGGTGCACATCGGGTTGGATACACATCGCATTGGATTCACATTGCAGTGGGGACACGTTGCAGTGGATGCACGTCATGGTGGGTGCACA